TGTAAGAAGTACATTGTGTTCACTGACACTGGCTTTACTCAGAGCTATATGGCCTATGTTAGGAGTCAGCAATTTAAAACACAAAAAGAGAGATAACTAGAAAAGTAAGAAAAATGGAACAATCATCATGTCTTAAACTTACAACAGTGATAGTTCATTTTTCAGTTTTTTAACCCTCTGAATATTTAAAATGTTCTGTGGCATTTGGCAATGCTAGTTTTTAATAGTGAACTTTCTTCCCATCTAATCCATACAGTAACATACATACAATTACACAATTATTTAACAGAATAACAGAGTTGGAAGGGTGCTTGAAGGTCTTCTAGTCCAAACCCCTGTTCAAGATTGGACAAATGGTTAACCAATTTAATAATAAATAGAATTTGATTAGTTTTCATCCATTACTTCTTGTTTTACTTTCAGATGCTTTGAAGAATAGGTTGATCCCCTTTTCTTGTGGCAGTCTTTCAGATATTGGGACACTATGATGTCTCCTTCCCTAGCCCTTCTTTTCATTAAACTAGACATACCCAGTTCCTGCAACCGTTTTTCATATATTTTAACCTCCAGTCTCCTAATCATCTTTATTGCTCTTCTCTGTATTTTTTCTAGACTCTCAACATCTTTTTATATCATAGTGATGAGCACTGGATGCAATATTCCAAATGTGGTCAGCATGGTTGTTTCATTTTAAGTATTTGAAAACAAATATGCTCACCGTGCACAAGAGGAAAATGTTTTACCTACATGTATCTGCAAAAACATACTCAGAAAAAGCTTTTCTCATTATAAATTCAATGTACATATTTAGTATAGATTGCAATTTTTCCTCGTGTCTGTAGTATTTTTGGTTCATAATTATCTTTATAGATCAGTTATAATTTTGTGTAAATGAATGTTAGCATGTGGGTGAAAGCATACAGAGTTATTGGTGTTCTGTGAGCTTGGTTATTTGCTTGCAGATTTCAGTATATAACTGCTGTAAATAACATCAGGGTGTGTGCGTCATTTGCTGCCTATTTATATTACGTATATAGTAAATTGTCCTGCTATTTTTGGTGGGGTATGGCTTTTCTCCTTGAAGAGAAGAAAGGAAGGGAAAGGAATAGAGGTTGCTTACAGGTAGATGTTCTTCAACCCTTAATGATTGCAATCTCTACTGACCTAGGGAAATGTACCTGTGACATGCCAATACTTGAATATTTGAACTTTCGCAAATCCTTAAAAGAAATTCAGATGGCTCCATCTATAGAACTCCTCATTCTTAGAATCCATTCTTATCTTTGGAGTACCTACAGCATCTTCAGAGGGTATTTTTTTAATTGTAAAATTATTCCTGATTTTGTGAACTGACCATATTGTGGACTAAAAACTGATATACTGGATTCACTTTCATTTTTTGGCACATCTGATTTTGTTAAGACAGTTTTATGTTCATATAGAAATCTGGAATTGTTGCACATTTTAAATATTTTGGAGTATAAATTCTTGAGATTTTTGGTAGGATCTTATTCTGAAAATATGATATAGTAACTAAGGGACCAGGCTGGAACCTGGGAGACTGAATTCTAGTTATACCTTAAGCACAAAGTCAGCTTGGTGACATTAGGCCAATCACTCTCTGTCTCAGTCTAGGAAGGAGACATTGGTACTTCTGAAAAATATTGCCAAGAAAACTGCAAGGACTTGTCCTGGTAGTTGCCTGGAGTAAACACTAATTTTAAAGGTGAACAAGCACATAAACAAATATTTGGAAGACTGCTGACATGACCTGGATGCCGCTGGACCTTATATTAATATTTTATACAGTGAAAATAAAAGGTAAATATTGATAATTCATGAATATGTATGTGAAACAATCTGAATTAAAGATAACAGTCCTCAAAAAGTCAACTAGATTCCTCAGGACATAAGTGAGTTAACATCATGGTGATTTACTGTGCCTGCAGGGTTAAAACAGGAAGATCTGAGATTTCTAATGCATCAGCTCTTGGTATGCCATTAGGGACTACCATATATGATCAAGGAGCAAGGGTAAGTTTGCAGCAGCATGTAAGGAAAGACACAGAAGAAACAACAAGGAACAATTACTGGGGCAGCGTTTTCTACTGCAATGTCTGTCAAGAGTATGGAAGCAGACAGTAGCAATAACCTCTTTACCACAGTTAGAAAATATGTTTGAAAGTACAGGTAATCTTTGTTTAGTGACCACAATTGGGATGGCAACTTGGTTGTTAAGCAAAGAGGTTGCTAAGTGAAATCATGATTGTGCTTATAATCTTACTTTAGACCTATGGACTGATGAAGGTCATAACTGTGATTAAAGTTATGTTTAATCTCTGTCATAACTGATTAGTTACTAAAGAGGCAGTTGCTAAATGAGGACTGTCTCTATGGAGAAAAAAATAAAAGCTTGTCTATGAATATTTAAAATTTTTGTAATTGCTGGTCCAGTGAAAGTAGCCACGAATAAAGCAAAAGCTATGAAACTTTTTGGAATTTCCCCACTTCAACTTACACACAGTACAAACATGCCCAGGCAACATTTTTCTGCTGTGTCCTCACAATGTAGCCTTTCCTCTCACATACCCAACTTATGATTCTATTAGGTATGCTGCCCATTACCCTGGAGGAAAGTCATGTGAATGAACAGATGCAGGATCAAAGTTCTGTGCAGACAGCACATGTCAGGCCAGTTGTTTTCTGCTGATTCAGCCTTGGAGGAAAGATGGCACTATTCCATTAATTGCAGTAGCTTTGCCACTTAACTCCTCTTAGGTCAAGTTGTCTATTTCTAGTTCCTGGATACTGGATGGATGAACTTCCCCAACTTCATCAGTACCCATATTTTATTGAATCAACTTTGTTCTGAGTTCCCAGGGCACTCTAAACCCAATTCACCAGAAGTTGCCTCCAACATCCTTCCCTGACTGGCTTTGGGGGTTCAAGATCTTTGAATGTAATCACAGAAAGACACAGAAAAGCAGAACAGGTTTTCATTCAAAATCCTGGTTCAGCAGAGTTTCTTATGAATGGCTGTCAACTTACACTTGTTGAAGTGTAAGCGACAAGCACAATCACTTCATAAATGCATAGCACAACATAGGAGAACAAGCCCATCAGGACAAGATTCAACCAGTCCATCTGCATTTAAAAGATGCAGGCCACTTTTTTGAAGACAGAAAGGTCCACATTTGGGACAGAGAGGACAGCTGGTTTGAAAGGAGGGAGGTCAAAGAGGACATCTATGTCAAAATTGAACAACCCTCTCTCAACAGAGGGAGGAGGGATATATCACCTATCTCAAGTCTACAACACAGTCCTTTCAACAGTTCCAAGAAGGAATCAACACCCATTTGCACTACTCAGGTGACCCTGAGGACACAGACAAACCCCCGAGTGGCCTCAACGCCTCTCTAAAACGAATGCAAATCAGAGATAGTGTTTAGCAGGTTCTGCACTTTTGCATCTTGGAGCGAAGGGAGAGGACGCGACAAGAGGTGTAGCAAAGCAGTAACCTTTATTCAG